TGCTTGGGTAGATCAGAAATCTGAGGTGGTTCAGAAACCTTCCCCGTGCATTGTCCGTGTCTACACTGGAAATCAGTGGATGAGTGTTAGAGCTGGCAGGGCTGGGACTGTGTGGGTTGTCCTGGTGGCTTTGACTGCAGTGATGGGGCATGTGCCAGAACCAAAGTCCCCATGTGGCCAACTTCTCTAATGCCTACTCTGTCTGGCTAGGGTTGGACATGTGTGTGGAGCAAGAGCATGTCTGCCAGCACAGCTGCATCAGCATCCCTGGCCCCTTCTACTGCAAATGCAACCTGGGCTACAGGCTCAGTGTGGGTGGAAAGAACCTATTCCTGTAAAAACCCTTTTTAAATCCTAAATCTTGTAGGGGGCTTGTAGTTACAAGTCTCATGGAGGGAAGCTGAAATGCAGCAGAGGACCTGGTGAGGCCAGCAGCCGCCTGGGTGCTCTGTTCACTGGGCTGCTGCCTCCCAAGTCTGTAATGACTGCAGACATTCTGCATTGCTAAATGCTGGCCAGTCACATGGTCCTTACAGTGCTTTTTGCATTATCCCCGTTCTGTCTGAGGCTACCGTGGTCTGGGCTGGTGAGCACTCCTGCAGGCTATTGCAGCATATGACCCTCACCCACATTATCTGTAAACTGCTTTGCTACCCAGAGTCTGCCCATGGCAGTGAACAGAGACCCAGGAGCATTCTCATTCTCAGTGCCACCCCTGGGCTGCTGTGTGACTTTGGGCTGCTTTTCCCAAAGCAGCCTGCCTGCCCCTTCATAGCCTTAGGGTGACATGTTAGTGTAGAGACAGGTGACAAAACTGGACACCACAAACTGCAGGTATGGGCCCAATACCAGTGAGTTTGCACATCCTGTAATTCAGGAAATTATTGACATTAATGATATTGCTTGTCAGGTTTAGCGGGGTGCCCAGAGTTGAGCAGGTGGGGACACTGAGCGACCTTAGCTGGAAGAACGAATCTTGCAGATCAAACTTAAGCTGCAAGAAAGCACCATATCATGGCTGTTGCTTGTCCACTATACAAGACTACAGCTTGAATGCCATTCAGATGTTCACTTGCAGTCTTAAATCACACTTGCAATGGAGAAACCCGCACAGTGGTAGCCATCTACCTTGTCTTTCCTGAGTACCTGTGCTCTGCAAGCAGCTGGTCAACACTTTCTTTCATGGTTCTGGTTGCACATTGAAAGAAATTATCTCTGCCAGTATTAAGCTGAGATTGCTGTACAAGACTTCTCAGCGATGTCTCTGAGGAATATGAAATTTTCCTGTTAGAAATGTCTCAGGATATAAAGTAACATCCTCTTGTAAAATATTTAGTATGACTCCTGGACAGAAAGTAGTACCAAAGCCATTCAAAGCTTTTATTTTTATTCTTTGCGGTAATTAATTGCACATATCATAGCCTACACTTGTCTTTTCAAGTATCAGAAGAAAGATTATGAGAAAGGTTCAATAAATCAAACATGGAAGTGTTGCCACCAAGTGGTACAAGCTGTATTAGGCAATGGCTCATAATTTATAGATCACAGTGTTGTATCTGAGATGTCCTGATGTATTTATAAAAAGATTCCTTTTTGCTTTGTTTAGCTTTCTTTTTCTTGTGATTCATTTTACCTCCCATGATGTTAAATGATCATGCTAGCACCTGTCTCCAGGGAGTCATGGAATCTATGACATGCACTTTCAGCTTCTTCTGGAGCTGCAGACAGTAGAGAGGCAAATATGAAGGGTCTTCTGGATGTATGGGACCTTGTCTTGTTAGGATGTGCCATATCCCTCCCTCCTCAGTCTCAGGTGTGAGCGGAGAGAGTGGCCAGGCAGTGGAATGTGTCCCACAGGCCCTGAAGACTGCCTGAGGAGTGTCCCAGCCCCCCCCGACATTTCTAGTGCAGGCCCTCCTGAGGGATTTGGACACTTTTGAAATCATCTGCAAATTTATATGTTGGTGGTTTGGTTTTTTTAACGGCACATACTGTGCTAAGGTGTTTTGTTTTTCAGTCAAAGTAGTAAGTATGCTGTATTTTAGCCATATGTTTTTCTTTACTATGAAGGAGCTTAATAATGCCCTTTTCTTCACTGTTGTTTAGAAACCTTAGAGTATATATATCGAAAAAATTGTGGAGAAGAGGTTGAGGTGCCTCTTAGTTATTTATATTGTGAGGCACATATTATTCTTGAGAGCTGTCTCTCTGGGGACATGGCTCTCCAGAGCTGGTTGGGGCTCAAGGCAGTAGAAGGCATTCTGGGAAGGACGTGGAGACTTATGCACGCACACACACACACACAGATCCCACCCTTGGGCAAGCATATCTAAATTGCAGCATGTGCTGGGAATGTAGAGGGTCTGCAGGTCTCACACCCTTCTGCCTCCCATGCAGTGTGGCTGTCAGTACCAGCAAGCCCACCAGCTGAACGGTCCTTTTCCACTGCGGGGGGGAAAGATGAGGATGGTGCAGGAATCTGGAGAACTGAAAGTCATGGTGGGCCCTCAGACAGATGGTGGTGGCAGTGGAGTGCTGGGTTGGCTGCTTGGATAAGCTGAACATATGGAAGAGGAGCCCAACAGGAAAGATTTAGGTCAAAAAGATGCTTTTTCAAAGCTGACGTATTTTCTCAGCTTTTTTCTCAACAACCTCTCCCTTTCTCTCTGTCTTTGGACAACTGTCTTGTGTTTCTCAGAATGTAAGCCTAAAGTACACCTCTTTTTTTTTTTTTTATAGCATTGTCAATGTTGCCACCATTATCTTCAGACCAAGCAAATGATAGCAAAAGGCAGAATCAGTCACCAAGCTCCTTTTATCCTAGGTTCAGTCTCCTGAAATTACAGTAGAAGAGTTAAATTAATGCAGCTGATCTCCTGAAAGGAACCACTAGAAGGGAATTGGTAAGTATATGTGTTAGTGAAACCTGACAGGAGAAAAGATCTGCAAAAATCTTGCTGCATAATTTCCAAAGCCCTTACAAGTGTGTGTGAATATATTTAAATTTTATTTTTTGACATTATAAAGAGAAAGAAAATAAATGCAAAGGGTGACATTAACCTGAATAACACCTAGCATTGCTAGCCAGAGGGAAAAGAATAAAATTAGGATATCAAATCTAAATTAAAATATTAAAAATCTAAATTTAAAATATGTCTTATCAGGAGCAGGGGAACTTGCCTATAATGGCTTATGTTTCAGTCTGTTATACAGAGTAAGTTCAACTTGACCATTTATGAATAGTTAATTATTTTCCAATATGATGACTGCTCTTTAGACATCACATTTGCATATGATTCTTCCACTTGTTATTTTTACTACTGCTCCTTTAAAAAATAATTAACACAGATAAATCAAGCAGACAGATTAATATAATAAATTCACTAGCAGATGAAGTAATTGTTTTCAAAATGATTGTAGCAAAATTAGGTTTTTCTTTTTCTGCAGGGTTTTGCAGATGGAAGAGGCCAAATATTTAGACATGGTTTGTACATGGGTATATCTGTTGTATATCTGCATATCTGTCCCACCTGCATTTGTAAAGAGAATATATACTTTCCCCCCCTCTATTAACTGAAGAAATAAAAACAAAAATAGAAACTGTCATAAGACCATGTAAAAATGAAACACAAAGGAGTTACTGGACAACTATGACTTCAACTATAATTCTGTCCATCAACAAAGAATAGTTTTGAGCAAGGTATTTGATAACTATTTAGAACCATCTTATTTTTATTGAAATTTTATAAAATCCAGGAAGCTTTCTAGTCGTTTCTACTTTTGCTTATGGTACAGTGCCTGTACCAAAGTTGTTAAATCTCTAGTGAATACTGTTCTATATCTTGTTGGACAAAATAGAATCAAAATAAAGGAAAACCAAAATGCCCAAATATATTTGGTTGAGCAGAGTGTGTACATTTTGGTGATTGAAATAGAAGGCCAAATATTATAGGGCTATAATGAAGTGAGAACAAATTTTGACACAAATTAAACTTAACCCAAATTAAAATGGCCATGAACAATAGGCAAACAACTAGCAGCAAATACTGCTTTTTTCCAAGGCAATAGGTGGCAGATATGGCATGCAGCATGCCATGGGCTAGGATCGTTATCTTCTGGATTGTTTGGAAGCAGGTGCACACAATCCGTTGGGGATGAGGGGGTGAATGATTGTGTTTGTCACTGCTGACTTGCATGGTGACTGAATTAGGTAAATAGTCTTCCGGGCTAACCTCTTCAGGTGTCTGGAGATCAAAGAATGAGAATAATTTAGGTTGGAAAAGACCTCTAAGGTCATCGAGTCCAACCATTAACTCAGCACCACTGTGTTCATCACTAAACCATGTTCCTAAGTGACACTCCTACGTGTCTCAACACCTCTGGATCACAATCCATATCTTGCCTGGCTTGAATCACTTCTGGTAGTGCCGGCTGCTCCCACTGATGAGGCCATGCAGGTACACAGTGAGGGTGCCCACATCATCAGATGGAGCAACTCTGCAATAATGCACAGCTTCAAGTCCTGGTCTATCACTGCCTGTGGTTTGCTTGTCTTACAGAACTGCAAGTGGGGATTAAACCTTTGTAATGACCTCTGAGGAGCAGCAAAGAGAAACAGTTTCTGGCCCTGAACGTTTCACTTTATTTATTTGTTTTGCAGCTGTTTTTGAAAGAAGGGGAAAAATTATCATGGGGCATTAAAGGTGAAATATCTAAATTTCCCTCTTTTTGGTGTGTAAAAAGAGGCTTTAGCATTTAAATAACTGAGCTATATGGATAATCTACTTTGAACTTTAAATTAGTTTAAAATATAATAAAGGATTATAAAATAATTGTTGTATTAGAATTACAGGGCATGAACATCAGCACAAAGAGACGTTTCCAGACACTACTCATGCACACCCAGTGAACACATGCATTGGAGAACCCCTTTTCCACACATGCGTTTTCACCACTGTGGCACTTTCCCCAGGCGCATTCCTGGGGTGGCACACAGCAGGAGAGGATGCTGTCACATGGAGTTGTTGCTAGTTTTTGAAAATATCTCAAGCACTTGTACTTGGAGGAAGAAAAGACTGACAACCTTACATTCCCGAGCTTTTTTTTTTTTTTAATTCTTCCATATTAATTTTTTAAAGAAACATTCCATTTTGAAGTCCCCTATCCAGATTTTTCTTTTTCTTGCTTTCTCCACTATCTCTCTGTGTCATAATGTAAGAAACATCTTCAGGGTTTGCTACTAATTAACTGTGGCCTGTTTAATGGCGTCACTGGGCTGTTTCTCCAGCAATAGCTTCTGGCACGAGCCGACCTTGTAATTTTCCAGACACAGTGTTTCCTCAGTTTGTGTGGAAAAACCCAGGAAAACAAAACAGCACCTGCAAAGAACAAATATAACTGCAGTTCACTGTAGCCTTTCAGTACAGAGCCGTGAAAACCTTACTAAACCATCCATAAGCCTCCACTAGGTACTGAGGCCTTTCCACTAACAATTTATCATTGCTATCATAGCTGTCTTTCATCCTTCCTGTTCACCTCCCTGCTAACCCATGTCTATGCATTGCAGGGCTGGTAGGGACTCAGAAAGGCTGGGGCTTTTATTTGAGCATTTTCAGCTGCTCATCTGTCACAGAAAGAAGGAACCTTGTAATGGACCACAGGTGTACTTACCACAGTAGGGTTGGGCTTTGAAACACTTGTGCTGAAGAAGTAGTATTGATTTCAGTGGGGTTGTGCCAGGGAATAACAGCTCTGCAATAAATAGAGGTGTTTTGCTTTTCTCTGGGACCATATGGGTCAAGTTTTATCCTGAACAAGAAAAGGACAGTCTGAGTGCAGACCTGTTTTGTTTCAATTGGGGAGGAGGAGATGATTGTGCCAGGGCATGACCAGGTAGCACTTTTTCCTCCTTGCCCCATCCCCAAGGAACCTCACAATTGCACAATATCTCACTAGCTTCAACCAGGCACTATGGCCAAGGAGGTGGTGGAAGGAGAGTGGTCATGTAATGAAGATTTTGCTTCTCCCCACTCTCTGCCCACCCTCTGGGGCAGTGGGGCCCAGGTTGCTGGCACCTCGTATGGTTCATATATATAACCTTTCATTTCGTCTCTGGGAGCCATTGATGAGTTGTAACCAGAACACAGTACTCACCTGTAGTCAGGGGCACAACATATATGCCAGCCCTACAAGGGATGCGATGAGACTCTGGTCTATGTAGCATGTGAGGAGACAAAGGCTACTGTATAGAGATAAAGTAGATGTAGATGAAACGATTAAATGTAGATTAAATGCAGAAAAATTAGTATGTAAATAATCAGGAGAAATCTTTGTTTAAAGGACAAATGAGGGGCAAAGGTGCTGGACTGGGCAGTGGAATGGGGGACATTGATGTCGCCTACACGTATGACTCTCTATGTTTTACCTCAGACATAATTTTGGATTACAAAGACTATAAATAGAGCATCCAGAGCAGAAAAGTACAGGAAGGAAGAGGAAACCTCTAATAAATTATATCTTCAAAGGATCTGAGTAGAGGGAGTAAAACAAAAGGAAAGTTTAAAAGAAGCTTGTACTGAATATTATAAATTCACATGAGAAAAAAGGTCTTCTCTCAGTGTGGGAAGGCACAAGAGTTTCAGTACTTTGTGCTTAAGTAGGGAAAAGGTCAAGACTGCTTTTGCCATGTTGTGATTAAAAAATCATGTTGTTAAAATTGTATTAAATGGAACTCCTGATTTCTTGCAGCCATGGATTTAAGAGCAATTGCTTCTCATTTAGCTTGTCCAAAGGTCTATCTGCCAAGAACCTGGCATTACAGTAAACAAAAAATATTGTTTAACTTATAACAAATACAGCAATCTCATCTCAAATGCCTACAGTTGTGAGTTGTGGACAGACCAGGGACACTAGGCCTGATTTTGTGTGGGGGAGACTGGGAAATGTTTTGGATACCAGTATGATTTGTCTTGTGGTGAGTTGTTGCGGCAATCCAGATTCCCCGTGCAGGATGCAAATGGCAAAGCAAAGCAAAGTTTTTGTGCTGGGGACTGGGGGTGTCCTGCAGAGAGGTTCCCAACCAACCCAAGGATTCCTCTGCAGGTAGGTGCTGTTGGTGGCCCTTTGCACATGGTCTGTGAAAGCTGCTTGCCTGTTGGTTTTGCTGGGGGGCTGTGGAGAAAGGGACCTGGATTTGAATGGAAGGTGCCATAGCATAAAGACAAAATTGTGTTTTCCAGCATCCAGCCCCAGCGCTTCAAAACTCTCCTGTTTCCCTTTCTAGTAAACAGGAAGTAAAGAAGACATGCAATATAAAATCACATGCACAGAAAGGATCATGCAGTTTTTACAGTCAAATTTGAGGATGAATTAGTTTTTGAGATACTGCCTGTTTAAGGATTATATTGTTAATAACCTAAATTTGACACACATTTTCCCCCCCTTTAGCCACTACCTGCAAAGCCTCTCTGAAAATTATCTCTTATGAAGCGGTGTCATTAATGGCTTCCTGTGAGGTTTCTTTTGGAAGTGGCAGAAAGGTAAATAAAAATGAATTAATACAACATTTTGGGTTTGTAGGCAAAATATGCAAATATCTTACTGACAAAGCTTTAGTAGCATTAAAGGCTTTCAGATCCTATCCTCAGAGGCTCTGCTTGTGGAATCAGAAGCCTTTAGGCAACCTTTAACTTAGTTTATGTGTAATACACACACACATACACACGCTCTCTTTCCCTAATGTCCTCTTGGACCAGTTCCCTCTGGTGCAGTTTCCAGCTTCACAGTTCATGAATTTTATTTGCAATCGATAAATAAACCTATTATCAAGTTTTGTATTCTCATCATATATTGTCATTTCTCATAAACCATTTCACTGTATAAGGCAGCTTCACTGAGCACGTGCCACTCACCTTTATGGCTCAGCAGAGGGCTGTCAGGTATATGATGGGATGTGTATGAAGATCTAATAAGATTTCAGATCTAACGAATGCTTATGAATAAGACTGCAACAATTCATCATTTTTATCGTTATTATTAATATTATCTTACTGTGTTGAGTTAGTGGTCAGCATTTTCGTGCTCTTTGAGCCCTGGTCTGTGACATGTTCTTATACTATGCAGCAGAGGATTGCCTTGCAATTCTCCAGACCCACCCGTATCATCAAAGAAAATGTTATTTCTGACATATAACATCACAGCATTTCTCAGCCATTTTAGACAACTAACGAAAAGCTTTTTGCATGCCCCTTACAAGGATGTCAAGTTCCCACTGTAGCAAATTATCAGTGACGAACCCCTCCTAATAGCTCATGCAGATTTCTTTAGGCAGCATTAGTTTAGGCATGGTGTGGTGATCAGGCCCTTGGACAGTTACTGATTTGTGCCTTGGATTTTATCTATCAGCCACACAGCGTATTAAAAGCTGGTGTCATATGTAGTTATCAAAAGATAGTATTACAAGGTCAACTGACAAATAATATTCTAAAATGAAGACTCCAATTTGCCTACTTTGCTAACCTCTGACAGTGTGTAATCTTGTACACAAATGAAAAAATTATTCTATCAGTGACCAAAAAGGGAAGAAGCAAGCAGAGAGGGTCAAGGAAGTTGGAAGCAGGCATTCACAGTTAAGTGCACTTCCATAAGCACAGGAAAATCAGCAGTACTTGGGACTTATCCTAGTAACACTATCATCACTACTGTGAGATAGTAGAAGTGATACTATTACTACAGTACACCACCATTACTACTAATGCTAAAAAAAATGCTACTGCTAACAGCAGCATCATCATTACTCAGCAGTACTACTAAATAGTATCACTACACACTTGCAAAGGTCTAGGATATCGTGGTTTAATTTAGTTTGAAACAAATCTCCTCTTGTCTGCACTGGAACATGAATGTTAGTAATGGAAATAAATGCATGTCTAAGTGGCAAAGTCTGTGTCTCATTGCAGCACCATGAAGCCAAAGTGTTGCATATTTTGAGGTGATGCACACCATGCCATTAAACCAATGGAAGAGTTTTTGAACTTTCTATTCTTTTTTTGAGCATGGTACTAAGCCAGTGATGAAGTTAATATTTGTGAGGTTTGGGAAAATTTCTTTCAGGGTGTGATTTCTGGTCCTATGAATTTTAATATTATAAGCAACTTGATTATAATTTAGATGGCCCCAAGAATATTTAGAAATTTTGTGCTGTGCCCAAACCCACCCAAGACAGTATATCCCTGACACTGGCAGCCAGGAATGATGTACAGAAGGGGCAGCATGCAGAATATGATGGCTGACCGCAAGGCAGGACTGTGGTGGAGTTCTTTGTCCTGTGCTGGGCTGCTGTGACTACCACTCAGTGCTCAAGCTGTCTGGATGGTGTAAGTCCCTGCTTATCATGGGGAATCAGATCAGTTTTGAACTGATCATGTTTGAGCCATGATCATGAAGCAGAGAAGGCAAATATCCTACAGACACTTAATGATGAAGTTAAAGGATATCTCCTATTTCAAATGTCAGTTCCCACTCTCTCCTCTCATGGATGTTTTCTCTGAAGTGCACTGCTGAGTCCTGTAAGTAGAAGTCATCTGCTGCAGGAGAACGTGGAGCCAACACAATAATGAAAAGATACTTTTGATCCTTTACAAAATGTCACTATTTGCTCACAAAATTGTGCTGGAAATCATAATCAAAACCTTATAGTCATGATAAATGATTTTGCTGCTGTTTTCGGTTCTCATTTTTGGTTCACTTTTTATTGTTCCTAATTTGGCTAAGATTTAAATCTACAAATTGCACACATATAGAACAGACTTCTTACTAGTGTCAGCAAGGTCAGTGTTTCAACAGGGTATTACCATCAGAAGGGACAGTGACTATCATCTGACCTGTCACCCATGACCAGATTTGTACAGAAAAGTATTGAATACAATTTCTGCTTGAAGGGTATGTTACATAATTTGCTGTCTGATGGAACTTTCTATGGTGTACGCTTACTCAATAGCTGATTCTTTAGAGGTGTTAGGTTGTTAGGATTGTATGTGTAACTTTATATGATACATTTGATATTAAACCATGTTTCTTTAACTGTGGGACTCAATGTAGCTGTGATATATCTTATGCCAATGGCAAGACTACATGTTTTAGCTGCAGATACTAGCAATGTGAGAACTCTAGCAAATAGGTTTGCCTTTTTTTTTTTTTGTTTTTCTGCTTTTCTATTTGCCTAAGAAATACATGATTATCTTAGTTTCTCTTTACTTTCTCTTCAGAACTCTTTCATCATAAAGCATGTGAGCAATCTTTTCTTCCAACCAGGGAAGACATGCTCCAACTATTTCTTTATACCCTTATAACCCTTAAGTTATGCTTCTCTCTTTTGACCTACTGTTTCTGCAAGTTATTTTTCTGAGCATGTCTGTACTGGCTGTTACACGGTCAAGGCCTTGAATGCATGCCAAACTGTTTGGGGGGCCTCTTTCCTATGTTTCAGTGGATGTTTGCCAGAATATGTAAGTCTGCAGCAGCACTGACTGTGCTGAACTCTTCCAGAACAACATCTCTTCCACCATACACGGACTACTACATTTCTGATTTGAAGACACAAGGGTACCATGTGTGTGTACATTGGATATAAGCAATAAGCCTTCACAGGGTGTAGATTAGAAGGCTCACTTTGGCCTTCTGCCTCATAGCACACCCAAGGTGCACAAAGGTTGGTTTCCCAAGGGATGCCTTTGACTTCCTCTGGATCTCAGTGTGCTTGATGCATATGTTGTCAAAGAAGCTCAAGACAGACTGTTGGGATTGACTGGCCCTCTATTCCCAAATTAAAGAGACCTCTATTGTGCTTACAGCATTGAGGGAGATATTTCCAGTCACTGAGGCAGAAAAGCTGGCAAAACATACTTAATTTATACCTAAACTGCTGCCAGTATTCACTGCTGAGATCCTCTTTCCTCATCCTGCTTGTGCAGGCTGCCATTTTCATACCTCAGCAAGCAAGCAAGGTAACATGGTGCATGATTCTATGGTGTACCTTGCAGTCCCTGAGCCCACCTCTTGCGGAGGAAAAAGTTGCTTCTCTGGCATCAGTCAGTACTGACATGTACTCAGAGCAGGCACATGTTTCATGGGAAGCAAGATGCCAAATATCTTAATGGAATATTGGGAAAATTGTTGCAGCTGACATAGCACACGTGCTCTCCAGCACCTTAGCCAAGGTGGGAGATTCTCTTGGCTTTGTAGAGGAAACAAATGCCAATGCTGTCTTTTGACATACACATTAGGCAATGCAGACACAGCTCTTCTCAGAATTTGTGAGACAACATTCTGTTGAAAATTAGGTTTTGGAATGTCTTTGTGATTTTGACTTAATCATAAATGAGTAAAGGCAGAACCCAGATCTCATCCTCAGCGATCACATTCACTTCTGTAATTAAAACAAGCTAGGCAAATGCAGATAAAAGGTTTTATTCTATTCAGAGGAGTTCTGGTTGAGACTTTGGGGAGGGATCTGGCCACTAATAAGTTACGGCAAACCATCAGACCTGGTACTGCTAACTTTAGTGTATCAGTGATTCCCATCTCTCATCTCCACACAAAGCAACTTTAGGTTGCATTTATGTAGCAGGCCCCCTTGGAGTCTGTGTCCTGATTTAATATCAATCTAATATAGATTGGTTAGAGGTAGTCAGCATGGATTACAAAAAGGAGGTCAGGCTTAACAATCTTGATTCATTTCTCTGAGGAAGTGACAATGAAAGTGGACAGTGATAAAGAAGGAGACATAATTTACTTGGACTTGAAAAGGCTCTCAATACAGTGCCACATAGCAGATTAATTTGTAAGGTTAGCAAGTATGGGACGATACTAAAATACTCAATTGGATATAAAATTGGCTTGGTAACAAGGCCCAGGGAGTGGCAGTAATGGTTATAGATCACACTGGGAAAATGTTATACATCCTAGGGTGTGTGTTTGAAGACATTCTGAAGATAACAAGGATGGGCAAAGCCAAAAACAAACATGGTGGAAAAAAGAGAAGAAATACAGAAAATATGAAGGCTACAGTCTCATGGGAAGCAAATGATCATGCCAACATGTGTGCTGGTTTCAGCTGGGGTAGAGTTAATTTCCTTCACAGTACTGAGTTTTGGATTTGTACTGAACAGGGGGTTGATAATACAGAGTTGTCTTTGTTGTTGCTGAGCAGGGCTTACACAGACCCAAGGCCATTTCTGCTTTTTGTACTGCCACTCTGGCAAGGAAGTTGGGGGGGCGTGGGAGGCTGGGACATGACACAGCTGGGACAAGTGACCCAAACTGACCAAAAGGATATTCCATACCATCTGACATCCTGCTCAGTATATAAAGTGAGGGGAAGAAAGAGGAAGGGGATTGACTGTGTTTGTCTTCCCAAGTCACTGTTATGCGTGACAGGGCCCTTCTCTCTTGGAGATAGTTGAACACCTGTATGCCCATTGGAAGCAGTGAATTAATTCCTTGTTTTGCTTTACTTGTGTGCGTGACTTTTGCTTTCCCTGTCTGTATCTCAACCTATGAATTTTCCAGCTTTTATCCCTCTGATTCTCTCCCTGATCCTGCTGGCAGAGCAGAGAGCGAGTGGCTGCATGGGACTTGGTTGTCAGCTGGGGTGAAACCACAATAACACGCAATTGGAAATTTCAGGTAATGTCCAATGAAGAAAATTGCCTAGGAACTGAAGGGGCCTAACCAGGCTCATGAGCCGCAGGTCTTTCAACAGAAGCAAAAGTATACAGAGCGGCAAGGATTCTTCCTTTTAAGCAAGAAAGAGGGCAAAAATTACAGTTTATTCCAAGTGCCAATGAGCAATAAGTGGGAGGCCTGTTCTTAGAAACCAATCTTACCCTGAAAAGTCAAAGATCCCTGGGTCCTTGCTATGAGGATGAATCGTAGCATTTAGTTTGTATTTTCAGCTCAAAATAAATCTTTAGAGAATTCTAGTTCTTTCTATTTGCTATAATCTAAGGAAACTGGACTTCCAGACCTGAAATAATTTTTTGTCACTGTCCTGCAAGATGCTATCTTACATGCTGTAATAAAGCAGAGAACTGGCTAGAAGAAAAAAATGTTAAGAGACCTCAGAGATTCACAGTACTGAGCAGAAATGGTTTCAGTCAGTACTCACCTCCTTAAAATGTGAACATTCCCATCTCTTGGATGATATTCAGAGAGGGTTTGGGAAAGCTGTACTGGTGATTCTGGTGCTGCCATCAGGTAGCACTGCTGGCAGTTCAAGAAAATACAAGCTTTGATAACCAGCAGAGTTTCCTCCTTGGAGTCCTTTTGTTTCATATTAAAGATCCAGGCAGCCAGGCCCACTCCCACAGAGCATGGGTGAGAAGGCAGTTTTTACAGTCCTACCTGTGCCTTTGACTCACTCCCACCATGTTTTAAAGATAGGAATCTGTGGAAGGATCAGACCACGCAGCTTGGAAAAACTGGGAAAGATTTTTTAATGAAACAAAAAAGAGCTGCTCTCTTGGCCTGTGACTGGTGTGGTAGAGGATTAGAAAGGAAGCTTGATGTAACAATTAGCCGCAGACTCATTTGTCTGTGGTTCATGCTATAGGCTCTGCTTTGTTATTTGATTATGAATATTGGATCAAAACTTTGGTCCTGAAGCCATTAAAGTCATTAGTCAAGTTCTCATTAATTTGAGCTGGACCAAGACTGGACCTTTTGTGGCTATTCAGAGGACATAGACAAACCTGTACATCAATCAAGGATATAGACTCATTCTGCTGGGGTCATATGGTTAATACATCCTGTTCCTGTCATTTCCGCTATAAATCTGTGAATGCTTTTAAAGCAAGAGGAAAACCTGATTCCTTTCCTTTTGCCAGAAAACATTATGTTCACTTTTATTACAAACAAGACAAGGAGTCCTTTTTCTCATGAAAACTCGTAACGGGAAAGGTAATCTCAATATTTTCCATGTCTCTAGAGTCAGTGAAAGGTAATTTGAGATGAAGTGCCAGACAATAAAGTCTCCTGTCTGCAAAGCATGCAAGCATTCTCCCACTGAGTTCCCATAAGCCTTTATTGGGTCCTGACGATCATTTTGCTTAAGCATTAAGTCAGTACTTATTGTGCTGTTGGTGTCTACTAAAAATGCCTTATTTTCTGCATTGCATCTAATCTACACAGCTCCTAGAAAATGGGAAAAAATTTATAACTTCCTACACATGTAATCAAACTCATAATTATTGATTTAATTTGCATGGCTTTGGACTTGAGTCACTAAGCTAGATTTTACTTCTGAGTATGATATTTCTAGAAATGTGATTATTTATATGAAATAATTCAGAACTACTCTGTTTTTTTTTTTTTTTTTTTTTTTTTTTTTTTTTTCCAAAAGAACCACCTCACAGTGATTATGGGAATAAAAACTGTTCTTCCACTCTCTCCAGAGTGGAGGGCTAGAGCACCTTTCCTATGAAGACAGGCTGAGAGAGTTAGGGTCGTTCAACATGGAGAAGAGAAGGCTTTAGGAACAAATTTTATCAGTCTTTCAGTACAATAAGGGGGCTTTTAAAAAGGAGGGAGAGGGACTTTTTACATGGGCAGATAATGAAGGACAAGGGGCAATGGTTTTAAACTGAAAGAGAGTAGGTTTAGATTAGATGTGAGGAAGAAATTCTTTACTTAGAGGGTGGTGAAGCAGTGGAATAGGTTGCTCAAAGAAGTTATGGATGCCCCGTCCCTTCAAGTGTTCAGGCTGGGCCCCTGAGCAACTTGATCTAGTGTGTGGCACCCCTGCCCATGGCAGGGAGGTTGGAATTAGATGACATTTAAGGTTCCCTCCAATCCAAACTACTCTATGATTCTACGATTTGCTGAAAAAAGTGTGGATGTGATTTATTTTATGAAAACATCTTCCAGCACTCACTTATGAAAAGATGAAGGAATAGGTGAAAGAGGGGAAGAAAGGACCTTTATTATGCATACATACATAGGTACCACCCTGCCCAGTTTGAAAACTCAACTGGCTTTCAGAGGTAGTAGATCTGAGTGTCTGTGTGCATGCATGTGCATGTTTTATAAATGGTTTGATCTTACCTGAGCATCTGTGGCTCTGGTGATATCCCATTTGTTCACACTTCTGTAGGCTCTTTGGTAAACTCACTGGATAGATGACAGTTCATTAATTTAGTTGACAATGCACATCAAGTCTTTCCACCCTCCGCCCCCAGCCCTAAAATGAAAATAAAGAAATTACAATGGTAAGAAGGGAAAATACTATGCAAATAACTCTGAAAGCATTGACACATTTAAACTAATGCAGTTCCTAGAATCATAACAATAAATGTGCTGTCAGGGGCATCAAAGTTACTCCAGTGACAGACCACCTTGCAAGAGCACCAGTGCAAGCTGTCAGAGTACTTACCTAAGTACTCCTGAAATATTCTTCTTTCACTATAACCTTTCAGAGTCATGAGGCTTCGAAAGAGCCCTTTTCCCCTTGCAACCCTTTAGGTAGCTTTTAAATACCTGCATATATCACCTTGCAAAACAAGCAGTTCAGGAACAAACTTTCTAGAGATGGCAGGTACTGAGATCAGGTTTTTTAGGAAATGTTCTTTGATGAAATGACTTGACAAAGTTTCCCCAACTTCCTCCATGGAAAACAGTTTTTTGTCAAATATTACCAAGATAGCAGCTAAGTCTACCCCCAGGAACCCTTTTCAAAGGGCTCAACCCTTTCAAGCAGTTGTTTTTGTTTAATAAAGCTGCTGCAGATAATAATTTACAATATCCATTCTCAGACATTAACTAGTGCAGTAACATCACTATGAAAACCTACCACAAAATGGCTTTCCATAATTTTCTTTAATGCACAAAGTTCCTCATTCAACTGCAAGTCTTAGAGCAGTCTATCCCTTTTAACCATCAACTCCATGCTCTCATGCATGGAGGCAGTGTGGTTAAGATTTAAAAAGCCTTTATAACAGCTCAGAAATGCCTCTCTCAAGCCCTTTCTTGGAATTAGTGGCTTTAGTTAATATTGGTTAACACTATTTGGAACAGGCATGTTATTCTTCCATTAATCTTTATTCTGGTCATTCTTCCAATCTCCATTTAAATTCAGTTTTCTTCTCGGTTGGCATCCGTACCCTTAGCTACCTCATAAACAAGATGCATTGCCAACTGGAACATGCAGGCAGAGCTGAAAGCAGCATCGCTAACCTCTGCTCCTTTCTACCCACTGGAAGTTGGAGACGTAGCAAACTCAGTGCTTGGAGCCTGGGAAGTAGGAATCCTGAACTGCTTGGAAGTTCAAAGAGCCAGACTTCAGGCTATTAAGGGACTGGACTGGCTCACTGAGCTATAACTGTGCATACATTTCTCTCTCTTTTTTTTTTTTTTTTAATTTAATCAGCCCAGCCAACCGGATTTATATGCTCTTATTTCAGCTGAGTGTATCTTTCACTGAAAAGAGATGTGCTGAAAACTGTGAATAGACAGTTTTACTCAGCATTAATAAGGCAACCAGAGTCTGACCCAGAATGATTAGCCTAGTAGTGTTACTTTCTAAGTGGAGGTAGAGAGGAGAAAAGATTTAGACACTCAGAGATGCTTAGGGATTTTGACTATAGGCAGCACTGCCTTGATTGCGTCAAATTTGAGTTCTTAGAGACTGCATACTCAGCAATAACAAAATCTTTTTCACAGGTCGGGGAGGCACTGTAAAGAAAGGCCATGAATGAAGGAGAAATGTAGAGACCATGTAAGCCATGGGTGAGAAGGCTCCCACTCCCCTCATCTCCCACCACCCAGCCCCTCCTCCATGCATGCAGCAGCCACCACCAGAGTCGGCACAGAGCGATGGGTACCTGGGGTGGCATCTCCTGTACCATAGCTTCTCCCTGCTTTTCACTGCAGAGACTAAAACCACTTGCCTCAGGCATTTTTTTTTTCAGAATTTATGCAGGTCGTTCCCTTTTTAGCCACTCTATATGGATATCTGTGTAATCAAAACTGGTTTTGACTTTTTTTTTCCCCCCTTCATTTGTGGGGTCAAGGCTTTTTGCCTTATCAGTTCTGCACTGGTAAATGTTTCTGTCCTCAGTAAGTAAGGCAGAATGTTTAGCCACACGACACCAACAACTTACAAGTTGCCACTCTGGGGAAAGAAAGTACACATTTAAAAGAATCAGCAGCCTAGGTAGGATATAATGTGACTTAAGAGTTTCACCGTAACATCATAGAGTATAAAAATGAAAATATAAAGTGCATTTTAAATGATTAATGTACAAAGCTGACCTCTTCCAGTGTGCATTAATCAAGAAAAAATGCACACTTTCTATAGTGGTTAATGTTGCAGGTCCATTATTCAGCTTTGATAATGTGCATAAAAATGCTCAATATGACAATGAGTTGGGGTAGCTGAGAATTTAGAATGGTGGCAAGTTTGTTGTAGTATTTGGATTAGCATTCTTAACCTACATCTTGACAGCTTCTTTTCTTCATTTCGCAAGTGTTAATAAAAATCTAGCTTTATCTTCTTTGATTTTTGGTTATTTTTTCTTGTATTTTAGTTTTTTTTTTTACAAAACAATTAAAAAATACCTGCTCAAACAAATACTACCAGCATTCATTAGTCAGGATGGTTATATGTAAAAGAAATGATGCCAGATAGTAACAAATCCAAGAGAAGTTTATTATGAAAATGGCACCTGCGGGATGAAAAAAAATTAAGTTACATAAAGACAACCATGTATGACATGTATGAGAATCTACAAAAGTATAAAAAGAACCCTGTTGTAAATGAAGTATGTACATTTCTGATTTGCAGCATTATCAATGATCAATGAAAAAAATGTTTCAAATAAGCCAGGCACTCAAGAAGTTAGATTCGGTTAGCTTAACACAAAATAAATGTACCATAGCTGTCACTTTTTAACATTTTAATTTTTTTATATTGTAGAGTTGGTAACACTGCTAAGATTTATACGAACAGAATCCCTTTCCCCATTATTCAGCTACTTGGCACCAGTCTCCTCATAAAAGATTTCATATATTTGTACAAGAAATAGTTAAAAACACAGACACAGTCTTCACAGGTAATGAAGTTTTTTTTTCATTTTGTAATTTTAAACACTATGGATTTAGACAGCAGCTGTGATTATCTGTTAGTTCAAATCACCAGAAATCATTTTGACACAACACAGTAACATTTATAAAAAAAACCCAAAACAACAACAGCTGTCTAGCTGTTCTTCGTAGCTGATAGGTGCACTCCTTTGATTGTTCCATAGCTAGAGCAGAGCTTCCAAAATTAAACTTTGAATTTCCCAATCAGCTTTCTTGCCTTTTTTAAACCTACTTTAATCCTTCCTATGGAACCTTTAAAAGTTCATTAATTAAATATCTGGCATCCAGTTCCTTTTCCACTATCACTCCTCTGTGGCTTGGACCTACTTCTCAAATTCAAAGCTACCACAGAAATTGACACAATGCAGTGAGTGGTCAAAAAGGACAGCTGAGTTAATACATTAGCTTTGCACACATAAGCGAATATATATGACAATTCTAAGCTCAGTTTCCTTTTTAAACAATGCCAGTCGACCTTTGAAAGAATTTCATATCTCACTGGTAATTGTTCTACGTATTGCTCCACCAGCCTACCTAGGAGAAAACCAAAGAAATGCACCCTCTGCTTACAGTTCGAGCACAAGGACTCTGGGAATGTTAACAACTGAGGCTATATGGCGTCAATTTGCTTAATATATCTGAGCATTACTCTGTAGTGCATTGTGGGGTACACTGGAAGAGTAAGTCATACCCAGAATTCCTCTGTGGGAATAATGGCTCCATTAACCTTGAGCTAGTTAAGAGTCTTTTATCTCTGAGAGTGAAGAAGAGAAAACGAGAGAGCGAGAGAAAGAGAGAGGGAAAACGTGTGGAGGAGGTGGGGAGAGAGGAAGAGGGAGAGAGAGGTTTGAGAATACACAACAGCAAAGCAACAGCAGAAATTAAAATGTATACAGACAGTGGAAGCAGCATAAGGTGACATTACAGAGGAAGGCCACCACACAAAAACCACTAACCCCCAAGAATCACTGGTTCACTAGGACTGCAGGAATGGGACTTTACCACTCCGGACTAGAGATAAAGCACAGAGAAGACAAAGGACAAAACAACTACATTAGCTTAGTATATACTGCATATAGTAACACACATTGAAACTGCAATGGGACTGACAGCCAAGGACACTTACACATTGTACACATTACAGTTCTCACATCTGTTATTAGATGCCTTAACAAACAGCTGCCAAAGATGGAGTGGAAGAAGAATTTATATTTGACAGTCATTTGGAGTGTTTGACACTACACTGTGATTTCTGGCAACAAAGACAAAATAGGAGATTTCTTTTCTTTTACTTAATGTGCAGTTTTCAGTTGTAGTTATCTATTTCAAGCTTATTAACCCATTCTTTAGTTTTAAAACATATTGGTTTCAATACTAGAAATAAGGAAAATATTAACAAAAAATACCCAAATCAAAGAAAAAAAAAGAAATTTACAACCTTCCCTCTATAATATTAAATGAAAAACAAAACAAAACATGTTAAATAGTACTGTTTTTTTTTTTTACTCTGAAGTGTTATTTGACGTTGTAAAATTAGCCTCAGTTACACTGAGAAAAAAATAAAGCAAAACAATATGCACCTAAGAAACTGCTCCTCGCGTCAATTAAATTGATTTTTTTGTTTTTAAGCACTTTTTGAAAAAGGCTTCCTGACCCATTTAAATTTGATGTGAGGCTATGCTTGTTAGTTTGGAGGTAAAAAATTTTAAGTCCTGCAGCAAATGTTAATGAGGGCTTTTGTCTTAACTAACCAAGGAGACTGCAGCACCCCACTATAAACCAGTACGGAACACATTCTTTCCAAAAAACCCAGCCCACAAGCTGCATATTGTATGAAGACATTACAGATTAATAAATGATAGCACCATGGTTTTAGAAATTAAGTTAAAGTTTCAGTAATTAACATTTAGTCCAACTTTTTAACATTCTAGTCACAGGCCAGAAATTAACTTTTTAAGAACCCAAATTATTTTATGTGCAAGTAAGAAAATCTTAACCATAAAAAGAGAATTAAACTCTGCATAAAATTCTAAAATACTATCCCCTATTTTAAAGGAATTAGGAACAAAACCCCCTTTTCATTTGACTTAGTCAAACAGGGCACAATTTTTATGCTTGTTTCTTTTAATCTTGATCATATCAAGATCATTTTGAAGTAAAACCAATGGTTGTCACTTTAAAATCTCTTTACCACAACACTGAGTATTCTATGGCAGAGGCATACACATATTAAAGGCATCTTAATAAAGATGCAAAGGAAAAAACACACATCTTAGAAGAAGACAAAATGGCAGGCAACTGGTACTTCAACTCTCTGAAGGCAAAAATAAAAAAATATCTTTACATTAAAGAATAAGTCAAGTTAAAGAGAAAGGGAATGAAATGGGGACCATCATATTGAGATAATAAGCTGACCTGCTCAAATTCAAAGTGCTAGAATTAAAGGTCTAAATTAAAACATAGTCTATGCCTCAGAGTATAACACTGAACACAGTATGTGGTCATATTTCAATCCTCCTTCCGTTCCAGAGTCTGTGTAGTGTGAATGCCATTGCTGTACACAGGAAATGGAAGAGTGGAAAAAAGTCCTTCGGCAGTTGTGAACACATTCCCTGCAGGCATTTGGGTCAGACTGGCCCCGCTCACAGCACTTCCAAATGGTCCCGACATATTGAGTCGGTGAACGTGGTGGTAGAGCATTTCCATGGGTGTTTTAGGATCTAGCCCAAAGCTGGGGCTGTTAACATCAACAAAGTTAACAGCATGGGTGTTGGGG